CTGAAGATACAGAATATTACAGTTGAGAGAGCTAGTAAATACAAGTATCTAGGAGTATGGATATGTGATGGTGCAGAATATCTCAGAGAGCATGAAAAGTATATAATAGGTAAGGGCAACAGAAATGCAGCTGTAATGAAAAATAGAGCACTTTGGAATTACAACAGGTACGAGGTGGTGAGAGAAATTTGGAAAGGGGTCATGGTGCCTGGCTTGACTTTTGGAAACGCAGTGCTATGCATGAAATCCGAAGTGCATGCGAGACTAGAAATACAACAGCGCGGAGTAGGTAGACTGACTTTGGGGGCACATTGCAAAACGCCAAACCAGGGAGTACAAGGAGACATGGGATGGGCATCATTTGAGAGCAGGGAAGCGGTGAGCAAGATAGAATTTGAGGATAGGTTGAGGCAAATGGATGGGTAGCAATGGGCACGAAAGGTTTTCAGCTATTTATACATGAGGAGTGTAGACACAAAGTGGAGACAGCGCACTAGGAAATTAAGAGGAACGTTTTTGGGCTATAGCGAAGATACGGAAGAGCAAATCTCAGTTAAGAAGAAAGTTAAGGCCACAGAAAGAGATCGGTGGCTAGAGGGAATGCAGACAAAGACGGCTCTGGAAAGCTATAGATTAAACAAAAGAGTTATTGCCAAAGAAAGCATTTATGACAATTCTAGGGGAAGCTCATTGCTGTTTGAGGCGAGGACGGGTGTTCTGCGAACCAGAACATACAGAGTGAAGTACCAGGAAATTGATACAATGTGCACTGATTGTGGAGAGGAGGACGAGACGGCTGAGCACTTGATACTCTACTGTAAAGGGCTTCACCCTATGCCTACCGAAGACAACATAGATTTAATAAAGTCACTGAGTTTTAGAGAAAGCGAAGGGAGAGTGGATTTCAAGACTGTAGAGATTACCAAGCAAAGATTAAGTGAATGGTGGCAGAAATCGAGAGAAAACTAGGTATTTTCTTATTCACTGATGGCAAGGGGGTTTCATAGCCTCACTTTCTTTGCACTGCGGAGTGAATATAGATTTCACATTTAAATATTCTAAGCTTAAATGGTAAAATAAAATGGCTAGGTGGCGTAAGCTACCGCCCGATCCAAAGGGCTCAGCCGTATACATCCATCCATCCATCCGTCCGGCCGCAGGCCCTCCGCCAGAACGTGGGCTAAGTCACCCATTGCTTACGCCACATCTCGTTATTTCAGACTTATTCTTTTCTTTTGCAATGGTGAACGATAGATAAAAGAAATATAAAAAAAAACAACAAAGATCCGAATTCAGAAATAGCCAAACATTTGAATGAATCTTTGTTTCCCCAGGTTCGAAAACAGTCGTCGCGACTGCTGTCCAACATGGGGAAACAAAGATTTTAGAAATGGTAAACAACGGCGTGAAAAGGTTATTGGAAGAGACGATCAAAGATAAAGACGTCTGCCGAATGCATCAGACACACGTCGAAAAATTTTTGCGGCTGACTAGTTTGGGAGAACCGGGATGACCTCGGGGTGTCGCGGTGTATATGTGTTGACAGAGGATCTGTCGGCAGCTTTGTGTTGGTGCCGTCTGAGCTTATTGTTGACTGGAATGTGCGGGGGCCTGGAAAAAGGAAGAGGGGAGGGGGTAGGGTTTTGGGAAAACGGAGAGAAAAAGAGGGGGACCACGCGAAGTAATGTTTGTGGGTGCGTTTGTGGCTTTGTCCGTGTCGTTCTGTGTTTTGTCCCTTGTCCGTATCTACAGTCTCGGGTTTACAACTATGCTCAGTTTTGTTTCGGTTCCGCAGGACTCAAAGGCTGCCTTAAATGTAAAAGAATAATCATATTAGCTGCCCCACACGTTAAAAAAAATTGTAATAGTTGAGTTAAATCAACGTTAACTTCCGAACCCAAGACATTTTTTTTTAGAAAAGTTATGTCAACGGTGAAAACATTTCAGTTCCGTATCATCCGTTAACAAGGTTTGTGTTAAACATTATCTCTATATTTGTGATTTTTTTTTTCTTTTGGTCACATTCAAGTTATTGTTTACCTGCGGTAAGGCACGTAGCCAGGATTTTGATTCGGGGGGGGGGGGGGGGGGGGGGGGGTGAGGGGGGGTTCCTCACACAGCATGTCAAAATGCTGTGTGAGGGGGAGGAGGGAGAGGAGGTTCCTGCAAAATGGAAAATTTGGGGGGGGGGGATCCGGGCCCCATGCCCCCCCCCCCCCCGCCCCCCCCCCCCCTTGCTACGTGCCAGCCTGCGATGCAATCAGAGTTAATTGATTTTAAAAACACTTATCGACGTTAGTATTGCGCTACTGAAGAAACTGAAATGACCGAATGTAAGCTTGGCTAGAAATTATCTACAGGAGTGATATTTTTTCACTCGGAGACCGCAGCGTCGGCTTGTATTAGGGAGTTCCCCTCCTGGTTTGTTTGTCTGCCATTGTTCGGGTTATGAAAACATCTGTTTGCTGAGATTTTATGACAATGGCACATCGTACGCGAAACGGTAGCCATCGGAAAGCAAGCGGCACGCCGAGCAGGCAGCTAGCGTAGGCCGCCCGGTGCGCTGCCGGATGGCCTGAAAATTGCGGCGCAATCTGGGGGTGGCTCCGTGAAACGAAACGCACCGAGTGTCGTTATCTGGAAGCGGTGGAGAACGGAGTTTCTACACCTAAAGAGCCTTCCTACACCGTGCTACTTGGCCAGCAACGCGAGCGGTAATAATATCGGAACGAGATCACGTGGCCGCGTATTCTGTCTGTGAGTTGAAAAAGTGAACATCGCTTGTTTTTGTTTTGTTTTTTAACTGTTTCATTGCAATTATTTTGTGTGGAGAAAAAACTAATACATGTTTTGTAGGTTATCCACGTCAAATATTAATTATCTGCTGCATTTAGCGAAGTTAAAGCAAATATGGCACCGCCCCTTTAATATAGAAATCAAGAAGCTAAAGCACAGTTTTGGCGCAAGTACTCAAAACAAAATCTTCTCTCATGTATCTAATTTTATATGTAGAAAGCACAATTTAACGCTTATTTTGGGTTGGAGCTTTTATTGCATATTTTTAATTTATTTGTTTTCCGGATTTCATTTATCCGCAGAGGGGGCAGAGATAAAGGCATGCTGCCTGAGAGCGTCTCTGCCCCCTGCAGTTCGTACAGCGGAAATAACATTAGAAACAAGTCACAGTGAGAATAAATATTAAAACAGCCATTGTCATAAAAACAAAGAAAAACATTCATTATAGAGATACCTGAAAAACACATGAAATACATTGACGCAACTCAAACAAGTACACAAGCGGCACAGCTTGAACAATGTGGGACGATCTGCTTTTCATAACCCAGAAGTAAAATAAAATTAAAATAAAGATAAAAATAGGCATAAATTTTTACATATCTACTAAAAATTTATCAACAAGAATTTATAAAGCAAAGCGGAAACAAGCTAATCCAAAACGAAAAATGAGCCTACAAAACCAAAATGAGGATACAAAAGTATTGAATACTTTACGTTTCGTGGAAGATAAATTTAAATAAATATACATGCATTAAATAGATGAAAATACAATATCACTTCACACCAGAGTTTGTCTACAGTATTTTTGAAGATTTAAAAAGGGTCACTGAAATTAACATCAACACCGGGGGAATTTAATAATTTAGTACTCATGTACGATAAACTTTGCCTGCTGTAATTTGTTCGTATGCTTGGGATTCTACGTTTCGGGTCTCGTAATGCGTAGGCACTAGAATGAGGTATATTTGTAAAATACAGATTGTTTTTGTAGATCCAGTGAAATAATTTAAAGTGATATATCTGGTCTGCCTTCATTATATTATATTTAACAAAAAGTGGTTGAGTGCTCAAATTTCTTATTACCTCTGTAATTTTTGCAAATACGAAGAATTTTTTTTTCTGAAGGATGATTAATCTGTTGTAGTTAGATGCAGTGGTCGTAGCCCAAACCGACATACCATAACTAATCTTAGAATAAAATAGAGAATACTACAATGTTATTTTAAGCCAAGTGGGTATCAAATATTGCATTTTTTGTATAATACTAATAACTCGGGTCAGCTCTGCCTTCAGTCTATTTACATGGATGGACCATGAGAGCTCTTCGCTAAACCAGACGCCCAAGAACTTTTGGTCTGCAACTTTTTCTTTAACGGTGTTTTCAAATATAATGCTAACTGATCTGTTGTCTTGCTTACTAACCGGTTTGAAGATTATGCATTTTGACTTACTTGTGTTTAGCTTTAATCTATTTACTCGTAACCAATTTGATAAATTAATGAGGTATGCATTGTAAGTTTTTTCCTAGGTACTCTTTTGTCACACCAGTAAAAAACAGTTGTGTCATCCACATGTATTACTAACTCGGGGGAGCCTGGCATTATCGTTATGTCATTCACGTAAACTAGAAATAATAAAGGACCTAGAATGGAGCCTTGAAAAACGCCATGCTGTATTCTCAATTTACTGGGTGTTATGTTTTTTATAGAGACGTACGACTGATGATTTTGTTGATAATTTTCGATTAGTTTTAGCGCTATTCCTCTTATACCGTAGCTCTCTAGTTTTTTTAGTAGAATATATCATGTTGAGGAGTATCAAAGGCTTTTTTGTTTGATCTAGAAATAAACCAAGCGTGAACTGCTTGTTTTCAATGTTTTCAATAATTCTGTACTTAATACCTAGGAGTGCTTGCTCTGTTGATTTATGTTTCTGCAAGCCATATTGCTTTCTCGTTATTATGTCATACTTCTGAAAAAAAAAGCTAGTTAATCTATCACTTACCACGCGTTGATATTTTTTTGAGAATATTGGCAGAAGAGAAAATGGTCTAATTACGAATATCTGTTGCTCCACCTACCTTGTATACAAATTGTAGTGGAATTAAAACACAATGTATATATCCAAAAAGAACATGCCTTCTATGTTTATATTTGTGTTCCGATTGCTATAAAACAAGTGTTGCATTTTATTTTCCTACACAGAATTGCACTACCTTCACGAGAGAAGCCCTGCGGAATTGGGAGCAAGCATTGCAGAGTGCACGACACCAATTTTTGAAAGAATGGTGCCCATATTATCCGAAAGATTAACTTTGTTGGGGATTGTGATGAATAAAAACAACATCATGCACCGTTCCCTTTTATCATTCTTTTATATAAAAAAAACTGTATGCTCCTTTAGTACAATTCATGTTGTGAAGTTCCGTAACATACTGAGCTTTATGCGATAGAGTCTGATCCAAGACCGTTTACTCCTGGGAACTTTGGAGGCGCTAACGCCTTGATGGCCTCGCGTATTGCCATGCACAGGTATTTCAATAGTTACCTTTTTTGTCACCGTTTCCATCAAGTGACAATATGTGAGCGGTCATTTCTATCGAATGCCATTATAGGATTGGCGAATCAGCTCGCCATTCCGACTACGAGCGTCGCGCGTGCACCAAATTGCGGAAGGAATGGTATGGTCTGCCCTAATTTGGCGATCCCATAATCTCATTCAATGAAAATGACATTTACGTTGCCGTGTGGAATTAGTTTTAGAAACTGTTGTAATACATGCGTGTTGAAAACTTCGTTTTCTTTGAACAGCCCGTCGTAAAAGTTGGCGAACTCCTGCTCTATATCAGTTTGGTCAGTTACGAGCGGTTCTCATAACCGGAGCGTCGTGATTTTCATATTTTTTGTTTGCTGGCGTTCTTTCATTTTAAACACTTTCCTCGGCTATTAGTCTCGCTCTCTCTGTCTGCATTCTTGCATTGTGCAACGAATCATTGCATCCTTTAAGCATTAATATTAGCCGAATCTTGCATTTTGTTTTATGTCATTGACGAATAAACCCGGTGTTTCATTTTCGGCGTTCATAAGCGTATTTAACGTATTCTAGAGTAGTTCCTTTTTAATAAGTTTTTGTCTGTTTTTTTTTTTCTGCCCGGAAGGTATACGAGCTATATTTTAATTTCCACTTTCAACATTGGCCAGTTATTACATTCATTTCTTTGTTCTCATTTTGCTCTCGGGCGAGCTTTTTTTTTTTTTACATTTTTGTCTACCTTGTCATTATCTAGCAGAGCTTCAGAAAGCTTTCATGACTTCCGCCATAAATCTCGTCTGGGTCCTTTCTTTTTTCAAAACTGTGCGTCAACCAGTGTGTTGTCGAGAAAGACATTGGTTTGACGTTATAGACTGTAGCCGCTCGAGCTATCTCACAACTCATGTTCACGCGACCTAAGTGCGAGTGGCAGTCACTCTGTCAGTGCCTATAACTGGGATCGGACCTTTGAGCATTTGGGTTACGTCTTGGGAGTCCTACTATCAGAAACCATTTTTTTGCACCTCAAGACTCGAATCTTGCCCCAGACTAGGCGAGCAATCTTTTGCGTTGAAAATATCAATTGATATCGCCAGCGACAATTTCATTTGCGGAAGTGTTGACGCACTGCGTTAAATTCTTAAAATAATGTTTTTCTTTCCGTCGGCTCATTAAGAGCGCGCACTGACACAACCCTCGACACGTCACTCTGGCCCAGGAAGTCCACCAAGCATACACGGCGGCAACTGTTTTTTTTTTGAAAAGCGAAATGCCTTTATTGTTGCGTGCAAGAATTTCTGTCTGGAAGAGCTCGGGGTTTCCCGATGCAACTTCTTCAGCTGTTCATAGTTTGCAATTTTAGACGCTGGTCTGGCAAGTCCGTTGTCTTGCTTCTCTGTTTTAGAAGTTTTTTTCCGAGTCCTGGGTTCGCTTGCCAGCAGAGCACGTTAAAACTTTTATGGTTGTCTTGACGGTGTGTCCGCCGTCCTCGCTGCTCTTGTCACTATAAGTGTGTCAATCCACTCTGCCCTGCTTTGGGTGGAGACGAGGGTTTCACTGTCCTGCACCTCGTCCTCCAGAGCGAGTTATTCTCTTGTGGGCCTTGAAGGTGATGGAGCAGGCGTGTCATCTCTCTGCGCGGTGCTCGACGCTACTCCGCAGGTGCAATGTCGGTGTGTGTGTGTGTGTGTGTTTTTACCCGTGGTAGCTTCGGTTTTCATTTTGTCCATTAGGTTGTCTACGGAGAGGTTCTCACGAGCAGCATTGGTGACAGATGCACACGTTTCACGCACCCCATCCTTTAAGTGAACGAAACGACAACAGGACTCGCAGTGCGGCGACCGACAGTCCCGACCAACGCGGCTAGTGTTCTGGCCCCCCCAAAGCAGACACATTATTTTCCTTCCTGGAGCGATGACTAGCGTTTTAGCTTTGAGAATACGCAGCTGGTGGGGCAGACGGTCTGTCGCAGACATGTGCAAGTTACTGAAAAAAGTTATTGAGTTACGTTACTGAGTACTGGCCTCAAAAGTAATTTGAGTAGAGTAGGAAGGTACTAAAATGTAAAGTAATTGAGTAAATGACTAATTATGCCGTAACAGAGTAGCGAATTACTTTTGAAGTTAATATTATATTTTGTTATAGTAACAAGGAAGTACATGAATGTTTTGATTCGTTAGCGATATTCTGCTAGCCAAATATAAAGCGGCTTGTTTTTGGCACATATATGCTTTAATAGCTGGTTCCGCTTCTGTGTGATTAATTGTTTTGAACTTTTCTTCCCTGGTCAATGATTTACTGCGATGTATCAATTCTACTTTAAGGTTTACCACCGCCTATGTTTAATTTTGCAGACAGTGTTTGCTTGTTTACAGTGCTGCGTAAAGTACGTCTAAAAGTACTTAAAGTAAAGGACAAAGTAAATGAGAGGTATGTACTTCAAGTATTGTAAGTACACCGGATGCGATGTACTTGAAGTAAAGTACTATAAATACAGCGTATACTTTTAAAGTACAAATGCTTTTTAACACAATCTTTCATGATGCCCTTTCATACCCTTTTTTTACTTTATGTTATCTGGTGTGCATTTCTCCAGGGTTAATTGGAGGAGCATCCGTTTTTTTTTTTCGGAAATGGCGACAAATATTAAATAAAGTAAAGTCGCCACGAAGTAGTTGTTTTACTCTTGCTTACGAACTGTTTAACACAATACACTTATAACGCACTTATTTCTATCGGTCTTATAGCCGCCATTACTTCACTCGGAGAAATGACCAGATGACGTTTCAAAAGACACTAGCGCGTTTTCACTTGATGATACGCCATTTTCGTTTCCAAAACTGGGGACTGTAGTTTAAAGTCGGGAATGTTGCTTTCTTCAGAAATTCCTAGAAAAACACTTTAGTAAAGCACAAGTACATGACAAGAATATTCACTTCAAGTTAAGTACAAGTTTTCTAATCCTACTTGAAATAGTACTTTAAGCACCATGTTCTTAAAGTACTTGCTAATTCATATCTTTTTTTTTTTTTTTTTCAAAAACGTCGGGGGAATTAATAAGCTTCGCGAACGATCTTCGAGTCTTGGACGATGTGTATATGCCTAGCTCTGGGAGGAAAGGCAACAAAGGTCAACTTTGTTTTTTTTTTTTATTTTAAAATACTATCAGTCTCTATTGAGACTATGATAGGGTGGGTATACAAGTGTACAAAGAAAATAACAACAAGAGCAGCACACACTTGAAAAGGTACTATAAAAGATATCTCCAAATAATCACGAAAAATGCTTGACAATGAAAGATAAAAAATTAGATCCGTCATGGGCTATAATGCGTCGGCGGAAAACACTACAAAAAAACATTTTATTTCACATTTTGCAAGATGATATATAAGAAGAAAAAGCTTTAAGTGATTGGCATACCACAGCTTGCTCCGAAAGAAGGTTCGAGTCACTTATGGTTTGTGGAAAGAATGAGTATCTGAAACAGTCCTTGAAGAACCGGGGCTGATAAAGTGCGCGACTGTGTTTGTTCCGAGTTATTCTCGACTCGGTCAGGAACTAGGTAGGCTGGTTTATCTATCTGCAATAAGCCATTAATAATCATATAAAAAATTTCAATCTTTTTCTTTACGCCTCATCTTAAGTAATAGAATGTTGGCTTTTGAATACAGTGCCGTAGGTGAATCCAGTCGACGATATTTGGAAAAAATAAAACGTAAAGCAAGTCGTTGCACCTTTTCTAGCATTCGCACATCTTTAACAATATGAGGATCCCAAATTAGGCATGCATATTCCATCAACGGACGAATGAGTGTTTTATAAGCCGTAAGTTTTGTGTTCATTGAACTTAGTTTCAAAGACCGCCTTAAATACCGCATTTTTTGATTCGCTTTCATTTATAATTCGCCCTTTAGCACTCGAGCCCTCAAGTACGGCATAAAATACGGGAGCACCAGATGGGCATCAGAGCGGGCGGAGGCTTGGGCGAGTTGGTTGTTCATGCTTGAGCGAAATAGCGCACAAGGTTTGCACACAAAAGACTGACACACAAAAAGAAAGAAAAAGACGTACACAGTGCAGTGTACGTGTTTTTTTTTTTTTCTTTTTGTGTGCCTGTATTTTTTGTGTAAATCTTGTGCGCTGTTTCACCCATTCAGAGTGGTGCTGCATCTTGTTGCCTCTTTTGAGTGACACTGCAGTTCCTATGTTGGGGACAAGTGGGGACAAACCCTTTCTTTATATACTACGTCAAGTCTCCTTGAGCTTCGGGAGACAAGGAAGTGCCAGTCTTCGGCGCTAATGACGCATTTTCTGGGCCTCACTTGCGACGTGTCTGTCCGCTCCCCGCGCCTCGTAGCAGGGTTGTTGCCGTGGGCGGCTCGTGAAACTTATAGAGGATTTCGGACACTCCAAACCACTCCCCCCCCCCTGCCTCCCTCCTACGCCACATGCTTCCCCCTCTTTGCAAGTATCAGCTGGTCTTCCAGAATCTTATCTATTATGTGAAGAAATGTTTGTTGATAGGCAAAAGAACCACTAAAATTCAAAAGTAATTTGTAATGTGCGTAAAAGTGATTAAAGTAAACTACTAATTACCGAAAAAAATTATAATGGGAAGTTGCTAAACTACTCAGAAAAGTAGTTAAACTACAGTAACTTAAGCAGAGTAGTAAACTACGCACAAGTCTGGTCTGTCGTCGCGACGTCTTTAAGCGTCAGGCGCACTCTCCGTGCGGTCGGCTCGACGCCACTAAAACCTTCTCGCCTTCCATGACTGCCACCGTTCACTCACCGTCCACACACTGGTTGCCGTACAGTTTTACAAAAGGGAACGACGCTCAGCATAGTCATGGTGGCAGTCATGAAAGCTTCATTCTTCACGCCTTCTACATTATCCAGAATGGCTCAAGAGCCTATCGGACAAGGTCATCTGGATATTCGCTGGGTAGCCAATGTAATTTGAGTTTCACTTCAGCGTTATTTTAGTTCTGCACTAGGCAGCGCCGGCCCTTGACTAATTTGTTTTACTCCCAGCAACTTGTGCTTTGCTGTTTGTGACTAGAACATGACTATATACCCAGAACTGATTTCTCTTGTACGGCCCATTTGCCTTCAGGTCCGTCGGCACGCCCGCGGTCTCTACTATTGAAATCCGCAGTCCCATTTGGTCGCCCGGCGATATCACCGTGGAGAAACAAAGTGTTTGAAAAAGAAACATCCCTTAACAGGGCATGCATCACAACCTGATAATCCTGAGCCACGCCGGCAGCAACAAAACCGCGGCCTGACAGGGCCGTTATCGCAGCTCCGTCGGAGCTAATTATCCGTGCGTCCGAGCACCATGAGTGCCGGAGACAATGTTCTACTCCAACACAACAGCTCCTCTGCTCTTTTCTAGTCAGCTACCGTGCCAATTTTTGTTCAGGATCTACTATTTTCAGACAACGTTTAGGTTAGTGGGTTCCACTGTTTACTAGATAAATACAAGATATTTGCAAGTATTACTGGACTACAAGTGCCCCGTTTATGTAAATTGGCAGGATAGAGACTTCTCTTAACCTGGCATTTGGAACGACAACATTATATGAAAGTAACCTGTTAAAGTAACACCGCACGGCATGCTCCCGATCAGTTTAGCTTTGAGATTCACGAAGTGATAAGCTTCATGAATCCCGAGGAAGATACATAGAAAGGGGGGACAGGCAACAATTACAAGAACGGCCCTTTAAAAAGTGCCGTTCTTGCCCCAGCGAAGCAATACCTCTCAATTTTCTTTGCCGTTAAAAACGCACAAACCAGGCGTGCCTTTCTGCAGCCTTGTATCGGAGGCGGGGTGTTGGGGCCTTTGCCGAAGTTTCTTCAGAAATATCTCAGCACATTAGAGCTCCCTCAACCTTTCAGACTAAGAAATTCGTTCCCGCGTTGGACAGGTTGCACGCTGGGACTGAAGCTGTACGAGCGTTCTCTTTTGATGTTGTATATCTATGCTATAGTCTAAACGTGAAGGCTCTTCTGGGTTTAATTTCTGACGTTATCCTCCAGACAGGTGTCATGAAAGTTCAAAATTTATGTGGCGTCTCGTTGTGTCATTTCTCGAATGGGCACAACTGTATCTCCAATCAATGATCGCTGAATCGGAGGGTAAAGTGTTCTTACAAAAATCCTGCGTTTGTATAGGGCCTTGCTTGGATACCGCCCTCAGCGAAATTTACCCGTTTTATGTTAACTCCAAAGTTCAGTCGAACCTTCAACGAGATTTCCCGATGCGAGGGTTTCTAGTTATGTTGACGAATATTTAATCCTACACTCTACCATCTCCGACTCCGCAGCCATAAAGAGCGTGTTCCAGAGGAACTCCCATGGGCTCACGTTCACCAAAGAGACCCCTCCCCGGAAGACTTACAGTTTCTCAATCTCAGGTTGGTCCCGTCCCGACTAGCAAAAGCATCTGCTGTGCTCACCAGCAAAGGTCCTCTGAGCCATTTCTTCCTTTTAACAGCTCACTCTCGAGGAATGTAAAAGAAGGGATCGTCCAAAACCTGATCGCAACGGCCAAAGCTAAATCCTGGCAACACTTTTCCGCCCCCAGCCTATCCAAGCAGATTAACCGCCTAATCAAGTCAGGATACCCGAGACCTTATGAAACAACAATCGAAAGACTTGTCGCGTGGTAAAGGTGCAAACCCCTCTCCCCTAAGTCACGCTTCGTATGCATCCCCTACCTACATAACACTACACATCGCCCGAAATCCATCCTGTTTCCCGCCCAAGCAATCGTGGTCCGACGGCGTCTGGTTTTCCCTTTTCACGGCACATATCCACGTTCTCGGACAAGCCGAGCACATGAAAACTGACCTTCAAACCTTTCTTGACTCTTTTGGTACAGCCCCAGTCGCGGCACTTTGACGAGAAGGCAGGTTTTTGTCTGGTTTCTTTTAAAGCAACACAGGAAGGCACGTCCCGCATGGTGACTTCCGCCCGCAGCCCCAGAGTGCGCCCGACGCGCCACCACCGCGCCGTGACGTAACAGAGCTGAGTTCGTGTATATCCACGCGCAGAGAGGGAAGTCAGTTTACGAAAGGAACGCGGTTGCTTTTTCAGACGAGTCCGTAACTCCCACCGTTGTGTCAGCTTAGGAGTGAACGGAGTATAGAATCGAGATTGTCCGTCGATTTTCAAGGTGTAGAGCTTGCGTTGACTTATCCTCACAAGGAGTGTGCACAATGTGCGGAAGTTGACAATAACCGAGATAGAGACAATAAAACTAAACAATTTTAACAAAACTTCTAGTCTTTTTTCTACTGTCACAAGAAATTTAAACCGAATGCACGTGTTCTAAACAGCGCTCGTAAAACAGGGGGGGAAAACACGATTTATTGCTAGCAGTCTTATTAAAAGACTGAGCTATAGGACACTTTTCTGTGTCATTTCGATGCATATAGCTTTGACAAGGACTCTTTGGTGCGGTGTTTGGGCGCACGAACTATTATTTTTATAATAAACGGGCCAAATACTTTTTTTCATTGATTTATTATTATTTTTCCATCACCATTTTTTATGATGCAGTAACAAGACTAGCATAGTCGTAAACCCGAGATTAGCGATACGGTCAAGGGACGAAAACAGAACGACACGGAAGAAGTCTGAAATGCAGCTACAAACTTTATTTCGCAGCACAAACATATATAAGGCACTCGCCACCCTTGGTCCCTCTCTTTTCCTCTTCCTTTTCGCAAACCATCTACCATCTTCCCTCTTCCATTCCCAGGGAATGGGGTAGGGGGTTTGGAAAAAGGAAGAGGAAAAGAGTGGAACCACGTGTGGCAAGAGACTTACTTATATGTAGGTCCTATGAAATAAAGTTTGTAGATGCGTTTGAGACTTTGTCCCTGTCGTTCTGTGCTTTCGTCCCTGGTCCGTATTCCCTGTCTCGGGTTTACAACTATGCCCAATTTACACCAGCCAGCCTGCACCCCCACCATTGCTTCGTAACAAGGCTGCCTTGTTTGGTTCAAATATTTTAAATTCAACGTCCAGAATTATATAATTTATTAAGAGATAAAGAAATAAAAACAAAAATATGAGGACTTCAGGTTGCAAAGAAACTGGGACGGCGAGCGACGCTCGAAAGAATCTGGGGTTGCACACCCGCGGTTCAAACCCTCCACGTTGAGCTCCGGACAACGCAACAAAGGCGGTCGGAATCAGAAAAAAAAAAAAAAAATAAAAGCTATTGACGTAAAAACCAGACGTGGCGTAGATAATGGCTCGCTAAATTTTATAAAATTAAAATTTACTTTGGTGAGCAAAAAAAAAAAAAAAGAATTTAATGTGCACATTTTTCTCCCGCCATTTTGAGGTACATTTTCTGTTTGGATTACAGATTCAGACGCAGAATAAATAAACTCTTCCATGTGATATCATTTATGTCTGCATGTGAAATTCTTCATTACGACTTTTGACTGCTAATGACGGTCTGACCGGCCATTTTGTTTCGGCGGTGATGATCGAGCACATTATGTATGCGACATCAGAACATGAAGAACAAACATAAATGACGCCTACACAGTTGTGCCAAGCTCACTCAAGAAAGAAAAAATTAAATAAAATTTAAAAAATTTAAAAACTACAATTACACAAAAAAATAAGCTTAAAAAGTTCTAAAGAATGTGTGAGGTTTATGCGTCACACATTCCGATCTCCGTGATTTTTGTCAACATGGTCAAGCTTGTGTAAATTTTTTTCAAAGAAATTATAGATATAGAGGACGACACTCGTTACTTTTTTATTGATCAGTCACCGTAACCAAAATTATTTCTATGCACAAGAAGGGCCCAAAGCTGTCATGAACATTTTATTGACTCTCTTTTCACATACTAAATACCCAATCTTTAAGCTTTTTCGCCACATCTGGAGTGCAGCTCTGTAAAGAAAAAAAAAAGAAAATACGGCACTGCTTTTATAACAATCGGAACACAAATATTACTCTTATAATAAGCTTCCTTTTGATCATAGAGACGTTTGTAATTGTACAGCGCTTTATATATATTAAAATATACTATAAAAGATCGACCTTGAAAGACGTGTTTGAATATGCTTTCTACAAATGGTATTAACGTATGTCAGTGAAACCTATGATTAAAAAGGCGAGAGAAATGTTTGTTTCAGTACTCGCAATGACGACACTCCTTTTAGCTTCTGGAATTCCATATAAAGAAGGCACTGCCAATATTGTTTTATATTCACCAAATAGACATATTTCTTTGTGTTTGTTACTTAAAAAAATAGGTTGTTTTTGTCAACGTAATCAGTAGTACGTAATCAATAATCAGTAGTAGACCACGTAAAAGTAGTCACGAAAAAAATTTAGAGAAAATCCAATGGTGTTTATTCTCTCAACAGAAGGACAGAACATGCGGCCATGTGATCTGAAGTTGTCCTGAAGGAGCCTTGATGACCTAAATAGTAAATCCCTTTTGTAAATATTTCGAGATTTCAAACGAAACGGAAGCGGAATTTCCTCAGGGCCGCTGACCCTGGGCTCTTACGGAGATTACTTGAGAAACACCGTCTTTGTTTATATTGTTGTTGTTGTGACCTCGAAATTGTGATTTTTCGGAGGAATCTGATTTGATAAAAAAATTTACCGGCGAGTGTTTTTCGGATTTATCCGAAAACATGGAAGCCTAATTGTAAGTTACTTCCCAGGTCTACGACAACATTGCGATACCCTTTACTACGGCATCAAACTTTTCGAAGAAGCTGAAAAAAAAAGACCACTGATATCGTTGAAGTAAACCCCTTTCTAAACATAATGGAAAAGCGCGCATTTTACAAGGACATAGGAAGGAACTGGTCAGGACGAGATTGTTAGTCAGCGCTCGTCCTGTCCAATTCCTTCCTCCGTCCTTGTAAAATTCGCGCTGTTTCATTATGAATACATACCAGCTCGCCCAGTCATCCTGTCTGCTAAGCCCCTTTCTAAAGTCTGCCCCCTGTTGGAAGCTTTGGAATCCCTGTACAATGTCGGACAGAAATGACAGCAATGACCAACGCTACGAGACGATGTATGCTAACCATAGTTGTGCCTATCTTAAATCTCCTGCTCAAGGTACTAAATTTCAAATAATTTTGGCAGTATTTGGTATCTTGTAAGTCCTTTTTCTCTAGAGTATTGGCTACTTTATCTTAAACACAATTCTCACTATCTTCTACTGACTACCTCAAATACATTTTTGAACATTGGACAAATATTTTTCGCCGGAACAAGCTACGGGACTAGGGATGCTTAGACTCCAGAACAAAGCTGAACAGGTTGCAAGCTTGGATCCAAGCGACCGTACACAGAAGAGGAAACAAGGCATGAGGAAAACACAGTCTGTAAAACGGTCAAGAGGAGACCTCTTGATCGTTTTTTTAAACTTATTTTTGAACGGCACGTCATGCTTGGAGCTAGAGAAGGGCTAGTGACGTCATCAGGATTTGACGCCAAGACCCCACCTTTCGACTGAGACTCCTTCAGCGGAGGATTGGGAGGCCAACACTCGGTGCGATCACAATAGGAGTCATTCGTACATCGTTTCCGCTGTCCCGCAACGTTCTCCGCAACCCGCTACGAGATTCGGGACTCTGCGGGCTACACTCCGTTCGCCCCTAAGCTGGGGCTGCTGTGGAAGCTACGTCCTCGTTGGACCTGTCATACGCCTCTCCCTCGCCATGTCATCTCGCTCCCGCCCATACGCACACGCAGGAACCGGGTTAGATGATAACAGGGAGGCGGCTGATTGAACGCTTATGGCCCGAATATCCATGGAGACAAACGATCCAACGAGTCGAACGATTCAGTTGGTCACGTGACAGGCGAGACGGAATATCCACCGAGACGAAATGTCCAATTGAGATGGAATGTCCAACGTGTCTTAATATTCAACGAGACGGCAGATCCAACCAGGGCTGAGTTTGTCCACCGTGCCTGAATATCCACCGAGATGGAAGATCCAATCAGGCCTGAATGTCCACCGAGACTGAATTTTCAACGAGACCGAAGATCCAACCAGGCTTGAATGTCCAACGTGTCTGAACATCTAACGAGCCTGAGTATCCACTAGTGGATCTTTTGATTCGTTGAATATTTCGACTCGTTGGATATTCAGTCTCTGAATCCTCATTGAACCGGCGGGCACGTAACTCCCACGGTCTCAGCTCAGTGGTGAACGGAGTATAGATCTATTCAGCGGCAGTCTCGAAAGAAGGTGTTTACAGCGCGCGTCACTGGTCTTGGAAGTGTACATTACTGTTGCCCGACTGCGCTGGGCTGCGAGTTTTCTCCTCAGTGGATTGCGATAGCCTGAGTAGGCCCAAGTCCGGACGCTGGGGGTGGCTAAATTGCAGCGTATTATTATTATTTTTTTTTGTGTGTATATTCTATGGCGAATACAACTTCTCGAGTTTAAAAAAAAAAGCATTGTAGCATTTTAAGAAAAAAACGAAAAAAAAACGAAACCTAGTTCCGGCGAGTTCATACACGACAGACCAAATTCAACTGGAATATTTGTTTCATTTTATGTTGATTTTTCATGGCACGATACGCTCAGCCGTGTCAATCTAGAAAGGTCTTAACTGCCTAAATTATTTGACCAAGCCACAGGATAGCCGAACTGCGTGGGTATTCCGTGCTCACAACATGAAATTTAACGATCTAGTCAAGCGAACAACTTATTGAACGTAGTACCCCACTGTGCTGCGTTACACGAACAGGATTTGACACAACTGTCGAATAAAACGGCATATCCAATATACAAATGTCTACGATCGTCACTTCACGCCCATCGGACGGAATACGGCTTGTTTTAGGGCACATTTTAAAGAAACCTGCTTTTTTGTACAGCACCAAAACAAATGAAAGAAGGTGTCTATTCTGTCCCCATACCCCGGAGCCGACCCTATCAGCTATTTTTCGCGAAGACTGGGAACATAGGCGGGGGGGCTTTTTGGGGATTATCTCAACGGAAATAATCCTCGAAGAACGTCACGTGCAACGGCTGTATACTGTACCGGCTGTATACTGAGATATTGGCAAATATGCGTTTTACAATTAAATATTGACCGACAATTAAATATTGTTTGTCAAATACAAATATAGTTCGCGTGTAAACTCTGCAAAAAATAAGACAGAACCAATCAGTTTCACCTCTGTAAGTGCCAAACATATGACAATGCCAGAAAAGTTTGATACTTATCTGCCATGCTGCTCTCAGAAAAGTAAAACTGAATTATCAACAACTTTATTTTTATGCGCAATAGCCTGAGTGTCAATTCAAGGGCAACTACGAAAAAAAAAAAAAAAAGCACCCAAGCAGCAATAAGTTTTCTTGTTGACTTACCATTTCACCAGGCGAGCAAACATTGAATGGCAACTTCGTCTTTTCTCCATCTGTGCATGTCAAAGTGCATGTATATTCATCAAAGTCACGGTAACCCTGAAATACATGGGCTTAATGTCAAAAATGAAAAAGTGTAAAAGAAATATGTAAAAAAAACTCCAATATTTTCAACGTTGGCAAAAGCGAAAATACAAAGTGTATTAACTGGCGTTGCTTACGTCAGTCTCGCTGTAACAACGGGATCTAGCTCTAGGGCAATGCTGACTGCAGCGGTTCTCTTTCTTGAACGCAGCATCAACCTTCGGTACTGTTGTTGAGGAGGCCCTACTGATTACTGAGGGTGTCGGAACCGGCGGGTAAGTAGCTGCAACTGGGATTCGTAGGAGGCCTCACCAGCTCCGTGGGTAGAAAGTACATATCCTTCCAACCGATTCCGCTCATCACGCGACGACCTTGCCTGTCGCTTCATTTAACTTTATCTCAAGATAGTATTCCCCAGAAGTAGACAAGTACACGTTACTGAAAAATATTAGTTAAATCCCCTTACTTGTTACTCGCCCAAAACAAATAAGAAGGGCAGGAAACACCAAGCCAGGATGCACGAGCGACAATCCCTGAACTTGATTCAGGATGCTGGCTGTGTGCTGGTTTACACAGATGCCGCGCTGAAGCCATTCACCCGGAATTGGTCCGTGGCGGTCGCCATGTATCGAGGATCCCTCGAGGCAACGACAACCAAGGCGATAATGCCACGCCACCGCCAAGGATCGGAACGCACACCAGAAACGCTCGAGACCAAGGCAGTCAATTCAATTGAGAATGTACACCGCCGCACGAGCCAGAGCACAAAACTTAAAATTAATAATCTACATGAACTCACAATCAAAACCTAGTGACGTCACAAAACACAGGACGAGGTGCAGTCCCACCAAAGATGCGCTGTGCGTCTCGGCCATTCGGTTGAAGGTGTCCCATGGACTGACCTTTGACATCAAGTGGGATCCCGCAGATCAAAGGATCCCGGGGAACCAGACTGCCCACAGGGTGGCAAGGAGCGGGCTGTACAATTCAGCTCAAAATCGCACTGACTCTCAGCCACCACCTCAGAGGCAACCCACATCCAACGACGACGACGCCGGCAGACATAACGACCCTGAAAAATACGACCCAAGGGAAGAAATGAGAAGGAAACGGCTCCGAAGACAACGAGAGTCACAAGACTGCTGGAAGCCAACGTACGATCCGATCCCAGACAACACTTCCGGTGGCGGAAAACCGTCACCCTCTGTGTGGTAGCGACTGGCCATGGATGTGGCCAGAGCGAACCAGGTGCGTGTGAAGATGATGTGCTCCCGCTTGCACGGGGCACGAGACTGAGAGCTGGACTCGCACGAGAACAGGGTCTGGACTCGATCGAAGCAGGGACCAGTTATGCTGATGTAAATAAGAGGAATTACATAAAACATGGTGTCAGAATAGAGGAACAACGAGCAGTCTTCACCTGCTGCACAGAAAGGTGAGCAATGGCTGAAGCCAGCCTCAAACCTTCTGCTTCGATGGCATCGTTTATGATTCAGCCACCTGAACCTTTCTGCTTTACGTCACCGAATGAGTGGCCCAAGTGGAAGAAACGCTTCGAACGGTTCCGAACCGCATCAGGACTTTGCACAAAGCCTGAGGAGCACCAAATTGACGCCTTCCTTTATATAATGGGAGATCAGTCAGAGGACGTTCTCAGCACTTTCCAGTTGTCCGCGGAGGATTCTAAGAATTTCGACGTCGTACTGCAAAGGTTTGACAGCTACTTCATCCCAAAGCGGAACATAATTTTCGAGCGGGCACGCTTCAACATGAGATCCCAACAAGACGGAGAGTCCATTGAAGAGTTCGCAACGACACTTCATACCCTGTCGAAGGACTGCGACTACGGCAATCTGCGAGAGCAACTGGTGAGGGATCGCTTCGTTGTCGGCATTCAAGACTCAAAACTCTCTGCAAAGCTACAGCTTAACGCCGAACTAACGCTTCAGACAGCGCTGGAAACAGCCCGACAAGTAGAAAGCGTGCGCAAACAACAGGAGGAACTAAACCAGGATCGAAATTCGAACGTCCACAAGATTTCGTCATCGGACAAAGAAAAAACTGCTTCTACGGCCCTCAGTACAAACAAGCGCGAGGGTCCCGACGATAGAAGACAGAGGGAAAACACTCCATACCAGCAACGTCCGCTGACCATGCCATCAGACAACCGAACACGATGCAGGTGGTGTGGGAGAGACACGCATCCACGCACTTCGTGTCCAGCGCGGTCCAAAGTATGCACAAATTGCCACAAGAAAGGACACTTCTCCGAGGTATGCCTGTCAAAAAGAGTGGACTTCGTAGAAGCTCCAGGTCCCAACGTCGGTTTCCTTGGAATAGTGACATCTCCGCAAGTTAATAGTTGGGAGGTTGACGTGTTAATCCAGTCCGAGCCAGTGAGATTTAAGATCGACACAGGCGCCGACGAAACGGTAATCCCACCAGCGGTGTTCAACAAGCTTGAACCACAGCCGCTACTGCAGAATCCACCTCGCCAACTTCGTGGACCAGACGGAAAGGCGCTAGCAATACAAGGTGTGGTACGCCTCGCAATGTCCTACAAGGACCGAGTGTCCGAGCAGAACATTTATGTTCTCCAAGACGTTACCATACCCCTTTTAGGAAAGCCGGCTATCGAAGGGCTCCAATTACTTTCACCAATCAACAGGATCGAAACGACGGTAAACCCGAAAGTCGACTTTCCATCACTGTTCACAGGGTTGGGAACATTCCCTGGGGAATATCACCTGCAGCTCCAGGAGAACGCGAAACCGTTTGCTCTAAGCTCGCCACGTCGTGTCCCGATCCCACTATACGAAAAGACGAAGCAAGAACTTCAACGTATGGAGGACATCGGCGTCATCTCCCCTGTCAGTGACCCAACCGAATGGTGCGCACCCATGGTGATAGTACCAAAGCGGACTGGAGCAGTGCGCATATGCGTTGACTTCACAGAATTAAATCGCTATGTCTTGAGAGAGTGGCATCCCATTCCGTCCGTCGAACATACTCTTGGCCTTCTTCAGGGCGCGAAAATCTTCTCGAAACTCGACGCTAACTCCGGGTTTTGGCAGATTCCCCTGAGCGACGAAAGCAAGAAATTCACCACGTTCATCACACCTTTCGGCAGATTTTGTTTCAACCGACTCCCATTCGGGATCTCATCTGCTCCAGAACATTTCCAAAAACAACTGTCAAGCATCCTTGAAGGACTCAGCGGTGTCGTATGCCTCATGGACGATGTTCTGATTTGGGGATCCTGCAAAGAAGAACACGACGAAAGACTCCGTAACGTCCTTGAAAAGATCTGCAGTGCAGGAATTACTCTCAACAAGGACAAATGCTTGTTTGGTGTACAGGAACTCACGTTTCTTGGTCACCGAATAGACAGCCTAGGAATTCGACCCGACATTTCAAAACTCAAGGCTGTTATGGATATGCCACCGCCTACATCAAGAACAGAGCTACAGAGGGTCCTCGGAATGGCGACCTATCTGGCTCGGTTCGTAGCCAACTTCGCCGAAATCCTGCAGCCACTAACTGCGATGCTCTCAAAGAAGCAAGAGTTCGTCTGGGGACCAGTCCAGCAAAACGCATTTGACAGATGGAAAGCCGTCTTATCATCTGAACCAGTACTGGGCATCTACGATGCCAACAAAGAAATGGTAGTGACCGCAGATGCCTCATCGTATGGACTTGGCGCCATTCTCCGTCAACGACAAGACGACGGGAGGTTCCAAGTCATCGCCTATGCCTCGAGACTGCTGACAGATACAGAAAAACGCTACGCGCAAATAGAGAAAGAGGGCCTCGCGTCAGTGTGGGCGTGCGAAAAGTTCAGCGACTACCTCGTCGGGAAAACATTCAAATTAGAGACTGACCACAAGCCTCTCGTGAGTCTATTTTCTTCCAAATCTTTAAACGATCTCACTCCACGACTTCAGCGAATGCGCATGCGTATGATGAGATACACGTACGAGATAACATACGTTCCAGGAAAGCAGCTCATGGCCGCAGACACGCTCTCAAGAGCACCTCTTCCCCTAAAAGAGTCGTCTGAACTGGAAGAAGAGGTTGAAGCATTCGTCCAATTTGTAAGGTCAACCGTTCCGGCTGTCAGTTCCAGCCTCCAGCGGCTCATCGACAGCCAGGAAAAGGATCCGGTTTGTCAGCAAATAAGATACTATTGCAAGAATACATGGCCCTGCCGGCGTGACCTCAACAACGAAGTTAAGCCTTTCTACCCATTTCGCCATCAGTTCACCTTTGAAGACGACTTGCTTATGTTCACAGCAAGGATCCTTGTGCCAACATCTTGCAGATCGGAAATTTTGCGTCTTCTTCACGAGGGACACTTTGGCATCGAAAAGACCCAGGCGCGAGCTAAAGAGACGTTGTGGTGGCCAGGAATGATGAAAGAAATTGAAGGAAAAGTTAAAAGCTGTCATCTTTGCATCGAAGGATCAACAAATAGAAAGATGCCGCTTAAGCCCACCGAACTCCCCGAGAGACCTTGGCAACGGATCGCAATGGATTTATTCTACCAGAAGGGGCAGTGGTGGTTGATCGTGACCGACTATTTCTCAAGATATCCAGAGATCGCCCGCCTGGAGAATACGACCGCACAAGTCGTAGTGAACCATTGCAAGAGTATCTTTGCACGACACGGTATTCCAGAAGTTGTCGTCTCGGACAATGGCCCACAATTTTCACGAGTGCCAACCTCAGAATTCGCCGCTTTTGCTAGAGAATACGGCTTCCAACATATAACCTCGAGCCCTCACTATCCACAAAGCAATGGACTTGCGGAAGCTGCAGTGAAAATAATAAAGAGCTCCATGAATAAGACAAGAGACCCGTATGAGACCCTGCTGTCTTATCGAACAACACCCCTGAAAAACGGGTACAGCCCAGCCGAGCTACTTATGGGACGCCGACTGCGGTCAAAGCTTCCCATCCCGAACAGACTGCTGAGGCCAACAGCTCCAAACCTAGAGCAGCTCGCGAAGTTTGAA